CCCTCTGGCATCGCGATTTTCTCCTTTGATGACGGGGCCTGCCTCCACAATCCAGCCAAGGTACTTGTTTTTCGTTGCTGATGCTCCTTAAGTTCTGATCGATTTCTCTCTGCTTTTTCTACAGGACTTTTGGGCATGCATGCCACGGCTTGTTAGTAACGCTCACATTTTCTTTCTTACTGTTTTTGTCATACTCTATTTCCTTACGCTTCTTGCTACCAGCTCGAACAGAGCAGTGCTTTACAAAATTCACTGTCAGTCAGTGTCCATTGTCAATTTCTGTTGCTACGAGTGGGTGGGCTATAAAACGTTAACTCATTCCTCGGCACTAGTTATTTTGTTGTTGAACTGGTTCAGAATCGAATCAAGCTGGTCGACAACAACTTTTTCCTAGTTTGGAGACTTTCCTCGTTACCATGTTCAGATGCTCTGTTTTGGTGCCATGGTGCACTGCCTTCAATGGCCAGACATTTGCTAACAGATCCTTAAAAGATCAATCAGCGTCGGTTGAAACCTGAGTGTCTACTTCTATGCATAAAGCTCTACGAAGTGGTTAGATCTTCCTAGCTAGGGATGAATGAGCTCTGACATGGTACTCCTACCAAGAATGACAGAATGCTAACATCTAGCTCTATGCATGAACATTCGAGAGCATTACCGAGAGAATTATATACATATGATGGCTTAAGCAACACTATACTTTATGATTGATGCACTGCTACTACATTACCCTGCTTCCTTTCATGATTTAGACACTTGCATTATCTCTGACAAGATGTTTAAATCCCTTCTATGTTTATTTCTCAGGGTCTGAAAGAACTCGTACAAAATGAGACGGTGCCCTGCCCCATTGACATAGCTAATAACGCCATTGACGATCACCTAGCCAAGAGGCTCACCGAACTGTGTGGTTCTGAGAACAAATTAGTTGTGGGAAGTGCTGAATATAAAAGAATAATTGAAATGAACCTGGTTAGTGTACTTTGTAAGCTTTCTTGTTGCTTCTTTCTGGGTGAACAGTACTGACCACCACCTGCTTTTTCAGAGAATACCCTGTCTTTATGTTGATGTTCCGGATTGTGAGGTCATAATTTGGAGTCAGATGAATCCCATGCGTGCTTTAATTGGTTTCCCGACAGGAGACATGGCTATTATGCTGCTATATGAAGCGCCTCTGGCATCGCAATTTTCTCTTTTGATGGGGACTACCTCAATGATCCAGCAAAGGTTCTTGTTTTTTCCTTGCAAGATGCTCCTTATGCTTTGGCTGTCATCAATGAAAAATCAAGATCAACTAATCGATTACTCTGCTTTTTCTACAGGACTTTTGAGAATGCTTGCCACCGCTTGTTAGTAACGCTCCCATTTT